GCCAACGTACGGATCCGTGCCCATCTCGAACGGATCCGTTGTTCCCTCGTTATAGGGTGTCATGTTCTCGCCATATGCAGTCACCGTTTCCTTGACCGCGTATGGATTCGTGCCCATCTCGGGCGGATACGTTGCTCCCTCGTTATAAGCTGCTCTGTCCTCGGACTGCCTCTTCTCGAGTTTCAGCAGTAGCTTCTCCAGAGGGTCCATCTTCACGAACGGCGCGGAGAAGACGAGGACAGGCAGGAGGACAAGGCAGAGGACCGGCTTCATCGTGGAGGACTGGAAGTAAACAATGTTCTGAAAGTGAACAGAAATGGTCATGTCAGATGCGTCATAAAAGAAAATACTGTTATATCTACATGAAATACTCGCCATGTTGTGGTACCTTTTGGGGATTCGACACTGACAAAGACTGACACTGACGAAGATATATTCTGTTTATTACATCTACATATTAATGAAACACCACGATTTATCGGTGACAATAAATAGTGCTATCAGTCACTAGAAAAAATAGCCGAAAACATGATATCTGTCACAAGTGAAGCCACAGTTGTACCAACTAGAAAATTGTCAAAATCGATTTTACCAAACATATCAACTACAAATAACATATTTTATATTGTTATCCTTTCATTAATGTTATTTAATAACCATGCCTTCTCTCTGTAACAAGGCTAGACAGGATTCTATCTCTTAAAATGCCCGCCTCATCTAACTCCTCATATTCATGCTCCACGTTGAGCCTTTGTCATTAAGTTTATTTTAAAATGCAATGTGATATTATTTACGAAACAATGATTACTGTTTCTGAAACTCTTAGGTGTTATGAGGGGCGGTCGGATAGCCTAGTGGTTAAAGCGTTCGCTCGTCACGACGAAGACCCGAGTTCGATTCCACACATGGGTACAATGTGAGAAGCCCATTTCTGGTGTCCCCGCCGTGATATTGATGGAGTATTGCTAAACGCGCCGTAAAACCATACTCATTCACTTCTCACGTTAACATGTCTGTTTTCCAGAGGCTTCATTTGTCCATTATAAAGGAATCTTTACTGGGGTTTTCTCAAATGCCAAGTAGGTCACATGTCCTGAAGTGATAAGGTCGACATTTTAATCCTGACTGCGCCACTCGGAAAATATCCACCTCAAGACTTTACAGCGTTCCCATACGTACCTTGTAAACGTTACCAAAAGACACCTTGACTGATATGGAACCGAACATTGCTGTTATATATACACGTCTGGCACGTAATGTCAACGACATTATTACATAAGAAATCAATCAACAAAAGTTCAACGTGCAGTGGGAATCTAGTCGTTTGTGAAGGAATTAGAGGGATCCAATCGGATTAAGGGTAGAATGTGAATGAAGTGTTAATTATGTACCGTCACAGTAACACAAAGGCAACGCTTTGAAAATGAAAAGCTGCTTTAATTATGTTAATATGCAATTGTTCATTAGCGTTTGGTGTCCACGGGTGGTATGTAGATACAGAACAAAACAGGACTTTATTCTCATAAATCCTACAAAATGTTATAGAAAACATACGACAGACAGGCAGAATTATTTCAATATAAGGCCACTGGCCAAAAATACATTTATACACATGGAATAGATATACTGCATGCTTTAATTGTGATTTGTTGTGAAAAGGCGTGTAACTTTAGAAGAAAATAACACAAATTCTGCAAAGTAGTTTTTCCAGTTGATTGTAGCAGAGCTTTTAGTATGTTCATCGTTGGATTTTGTAAAAGCGTGGTTTTAGATGTGTCTTCCTTAGTTCACTTTATAATGGGCACTTTAATAGCACATGGAGCTCATCTTCGATGACATGAATGTTATTTTCTTACATCTCTTGCATAATCTTTCTTCCATCTGAATATTGTTATGGCGACCTAGTTCGATTTCTATCTTAAAGTTGGAACACCGGAAGTTAGCTAATATTCTGCATAGTTAAAGGGGAAGGTCAGATATGCTTCAACGTTTAGCACAGATTTGAAATATCTGTAGGTTGAACTCTTATTGCTTAAATGAAAGGAGGAGGGCCAGTCTTGAGTTAATCGTTGTTAAAAAGTTGATATAAATATGTGGTTTAAACATTTTTATTTTCAGAAACCTTGGTTGGTAAACAAGCATTTTTATGCTTATGAAATACCGCCCCAGAAACATAACAATTCCAAAATCGTGATGGTTAGAAGTAAACGAAAATAATTGACAACTCATGTGTTCATAGATAAATAAAGCATGTGTTCATAAGTAAATGAAACAAAGATGCAATTAACAATATGATGATAAGTGCTGCAATGACGGCAAGCAAACTTACAGGCATACAAAGTTCCTAGTTCTTTAGATTTTGCAGTCATAATCATACGAAACTTGCCTAAGCATTTACAAATCGATTGCTTTTAGTTATGAAGTGATGAACAGATTTGAATATATCCATTTCAACATTTGTGCTTAAAAACTTGTTACAACATAAGATAGTTTCTAGATCATATGCGTGGATGTAAAAGAAGGCATTTTTCTGATTTCACTATATTTCGTACAAGTAAAGAAATAATGATATGAATTCTCAGTTTTGTGCCCATAAGAGCAGACCGGGTTTTCTGATATATCTTTGAAATTTGTTCCAGTTAAGATCACTGCATCCTAGTTTCAGTCGACTGTGAGTTATTTGACAGTTTCTGCTATCATGATATACATCAAAGTAAACATTACATTTATTTTGTTCTTTGATAAGGGTTTTGGAATCAGATAGAGGCATACAATTTCTAACTTCGAGAGGCAGTGAATTCCAGAGTTTGATTGTGTCTGGAATGAATGATTTGGCATATATTGTTGTTTGGCACTAAATGCCTTTCAAAATTAGTGCCATCACGCAAGGGATAACGACTAATTTCCCCGACTAAAGGGGATAACAGATTGCACAGATAGTTCGGTGATAAATGGTGATACATTTTATAAAATGTTAGCAGTTTAGAGTCTTTTCGCCTTTCACTCAACGAAGTGAAGGAAGTTTCGCGATAAATCTTTTCATGGCTTGTTCCACGGACAGCACCACATATTGTTCTAAGGGCGTCTAGATGTAGTTTTTCTAAAGTTAGGGCTTGCTGATCTGTACAGTTGTCCCAAATATGAGAGCAGTAATCAAAAGATGGAAGAATATGGGATTTATACATGGTCTCTAGTGTTTTTCTATATATATTTGAAACATTTATGACAATTTATCATGGGACTAACATTTTTAATAATGTTGTGAGTGTGTGCGTCCCATGAACAGTCGTTTTGCAGTGTTATTCCAGGGTGTTTATGACTTTCAACAACTTGGATAGCAATCCCATTCATAATGTTGTGAGTGTGTGCGTCCCATGAACAGTCGTTTTGCAGTGTTATTCCAGGGTGTTTATGACTTTCAACATCTTGGATAGCAATCCCATTCATAATGTTGTGAGTGTGTGCGTCCCATGAACAGTCGTTTTGCAGTGTTATTCCAGGGTGTTTATGACTTTCAACAACTTGGATAGCAATCCCATTCATATTGTTGTGAGTGTGTGCGTCCCATGAACAGTCGTTTTGCAGTGTTATTCCAGGGTGTTTATGACTTTCAACAACTTGGATAGCAATCCCATTCATATTGTTGTCGTTGGCTCGTCACGCCGAAGACCCGGGTTCGATTCCCCACATTGGCACAATGTGTTAAGCCCATTTCTGGTGTCCCCCGCCGTGATATTGCTGGAATATTGCTAAAAGCGGCGTAAAACTAAACTCAGTCAGTCAGTCATATTGTTGTGAGTGTGTGCGTCCCATGAACAGTCTTTTTGCAGTGTTATTCCAAGGTGTTTATGACTTTCAACATCTTGGATAGCAATGCCATTCATAATGTTGTGAGTGTGTGCGTCCCATGAACAGTCGTTTTGCAGTGTTATTCCAAGGTGTTTATGACTTTCAACATCTTGGATAGCAATTCCATTCATATATAAGTTCATCTAAAGATGTCAGTATTTCCTATTTCCTGCTGGATCCAGACTATTCCGAAGTCAAGTTTATATAGGATTGATTTTATGTCTGCAGCCCAAGTTTTTCTCCCTGCATCTGAGGCTGATTTAAGCATAAGATAAGCTAGGTGTGATAATCGAGATGGGTGTAGGTAAATGACACGGCACCTGTAAACGATGGCTCTGGTCATATACACACTCTGGAGATGGGCTTCTCACACTCTCTGAGAACCGTATTGGTTGGAGTTGCCTTGGATAGACCAAGAAAACGCTTACAGAATGAAGTATGAACTGTTTCTGTGATTATACTGAATGATGTTCCCCACACCACGACACCATAACACAATATTTGAACCACCACACTCTCATACAGGTTAACCATATCACTGTAAGCGAAATCGCCGAACTTCCTTTGATGTTGGTTTATAGCTAACATAGCCAACATAGCCAACATACGGATATCTTCTTACAATACAACGTGACAAATGTGTGGGTGAGGTATGTCAGTATGTAGTCTTTTGAAGGATTACGCTGCTTGGAATTTAAATAGTTGAGCTCTCCAATAATCGAATGTACAGAAAGTGAAAATACGACAACACAGACGTATAAGTTTCATGATCTCATTAATAATAATAATAATGTGTCCATTTATTTAGCGCCAAAGTCCACACTAGGTATGCTCGTAGCGCTAACAATCAATAGCACAGTACATTATTACCCCGGATAACCCAAGGTACCTATTAGGCACAAGAAGGTTATAGTCACATGACTTATCACACCGAGTACCCATTTTCTGCTGGGTGAACAGACGCAATTTTGAACGAACTCATTTGCCTAAGGTGAGACCACATGTATGACAGGTGCATGTTAAAGAAACGCCGCACGAAATGGGGTCATTGATGGTTTGGTTTGTTTCATTAACCAGTTCGCACTGCAATGTCAGTAGGGAAATATAAACACAAAGACGGAAGTACAAACATCACTCGTGGTTTTATTTCAATCAAATATCCATCATATCGGATATAATCAACGCAATTATAATAGGAAATTCATAACAATGATGAACGTGTCCACATATGAGAAGGTTATCCAGTGTTCTGGGTGAGGCTGAAGGAGTTTTGGAGTTCTGGGGTTCTGGAGTTTTGGAGTTTGGAGTTCTGAAGTCAATCTCTATTCAAGAGACTATCTGTCGACCCATGTGGGCTGAAAAAAACGAACAGCAAATTATGATAAGTGTTACGCAGTTTAAAACAGTCATAAAAACCCATGCAACTATAAAGTCAGCTTCAATATACCAATTTTAAATCTTGACAATCAAGATTCAATGACACAAGTACGTGTAGATGAAAGACTGAATTGACACTTAAAACTCGTGTAGACAATACCTAAACAAGAAACGATATTTCAGAATCATGTATTCGGAAACGTCACTAGACAACGTGAGTGAGTGAGTGAGTAAGTGAGTCAGTGAGTCAGTGAGTGAGTGGAGTTTAATGCTTCTCCAAGCACTATGTCAGTTACATGATGTTTTTGAGTGAGGTATTCCACTTTGAGGTGGCCTAAATCCATGAAGCAATTTATCCATAAACAAATTATACCGTATGAAAAAGTATGATGACACCAATTATATCTTGTTTAGTATATCACAATCAAAACACATTCACTTTTACGTGCACGTGAATTGGCATATGAAACCAATGTGATCGATACTTTCTGAACTTTGGGCTTGATTTTATTTGAGAATCATTCATGAGGAAACACGAATGGACAAAATGTGTGTGAGTGAGTTAAGTAAATTCCCCTTTGAATAGTATATCGGTTCTTCTTGCATTGCAGTCACAGAGATTTAGTCTTTATGACACACGCGCAGATATGGTGATGATAAATGCAAAACACACAATTAGTTTTTGATGCAACTAAAGGACGCAAACCCATCGTACAACTCATTATTATGCGTTGGATGACAGGGCCAAAGTGATGATGAATTAGATCATCATCCAGAATATTATTTCGAGTAAATGAAATTTGTTCAATCTGTATATTTTACTGACCTCCCATCTCTTGCACCAGTTTCTCTGCCAGCTGCAGAGGTTCAGAGCTGTAGGTGTTGATGAGCTGACACAGGTCCTGGAGCTTCTGTTCAGCCTCCTCCCAGGGGAAAGACTTGTCAGTTGGGTGTTTAGGTAGCATTCCCTTTGGAGCGGACCGGTCTGGATTACCTCCCATTGGAGCAGGCTGTACCGGCTTTGGACCAACTAGCCTCAGTAGCCTTTTTATGGGGTTAGGCGAAGTCGGTAGCCCTCCATCGGGACCAGTCATCATAGATAGACCTCTATGATTGCCAAACATTTGCCTGAGCTCTTCTTGTCCCTTCACGAAAGCAAGTAGCATGCACACGCCTTCAGTAGCTTGCCTGATGTACTCACGTGGCCCCATGTCTGAAATGAAGTTGAAACACGTTGAAGAGGGCCAATATAATAAATAAATAAGAGTCACTTTCGTCTCCAAAAAGGAATGTATGAACTTAATCTGTATGTGAATCACCCACATGAAGAATATGGAGTTTGCATATCCGATGCAAGGATATCAATGTGTGAATCTTCGGCAGCTATTCCTAGGTAAAGGGTGTTAATTAAAGCCATGTGGACGAAAATGAAATATTTAAAAAAGCAGGGGGAAGAGCAGGCATCTTTGTTTCAGACCACTGTTAACACTGAACCATAATGTTACGCATCCTGTAGATACACTGATCTGTATGTACATATATATCAGCAAAAATATGATTCTATGATTCAAATAATTTCTTCGACAGCGTATTACTGCCATCTTCTTTTGAGATGAAGTTTTGGTTGAATATTAATGTCCTACCTGAATGTGGCGTTGTCATATCCCTGGCGTCGTTGTACATTGTAGTCCCCATGTCATAAACAGGTGTCGTAACGTCGCTGTCAGTGGTGTCGGATGTCATGTCGGTGCTATCGGATGTCATGTCAGTGCTGACCGTGCCCACATCATATGCCGTTGTCGTTTGCATGTCCATGTCTTGGGTAGAATATATCTCGGCCTGATACGTTGTAACCTCGTCATAGGATGTCGTGTCCTCGAACTGCCTCCTCTCCAGTTTCTCCAGCAGCCTCTCCAGGAGGTCCATCTTCGATAACGACGAGGAGAGGACGAGGACAGGCAGGAGGACGAAGCAGAGGACCGACTTCATCATGGAGGACTGGAAGTAAAACATTCTGTTCAGTTAGCAACACTGTTCTGCTCAGAAGCGCCATCGACAAGATTAATATAATAAGTCATTGAATCATTGAATTACTATTTAGCATTTCATTATCGTCATTGAATAAGTCTTGAATGAATATGAATTATAACTACGGTTCTTGTTTGTGTTTTGCAGTAGGGTGGTTAGGGGGTGAAAGGTGAAAACTATGGATGTCGACTTCTGTAACGTGAGAAACACGGCGTTCGGTGTATTTTCTTGCTTACTATTCTCTTGGTGAACGAATGAGAAACATCGCGCTCCTTATATCACAGACGTCTACATCAGTAAATAATCACCTTTTTATACATATCATTTTTTAACACCACTCACAGACATCCCTGTTTATATTATGAATCAAATTCTCAGAAGGATGTTTTCAATATAAATGGAATAGAGATAATTATACACGTCAACAGAGGTTACTGAGTAAGAGTAAAGGATCATTAATTTATTTAAACTTGTAAATCTATTTAACAGAGAATTAGATAAGAAACTAAATTCTACTAATGTATGTTTTAATAATACATTGAGCAGGAATGATTAAATACGTGACTGACTGAGCAATATCATTATTCAGACACTGAAAGTTTCAGAAGCATGTTCAAAAAAAAAAAAGCATACATAAAGAGGACCTTAACAGGTGATTGTGAGACCCATGATCAAGTGTGCCATTCCATTTTCGAATCAACAAGCAGATACCTATAATGTGTTCATCTCACTCTCGCCACACAGTTTAACAGTGAGCCGTATTGACTGTAGACACAATGAGAGTAGGCGGGTCACGGACAACGTACATCATTATGCCAGTACTACTCTTGGATGCACAACAACCAGTGACATTTCATGAGCCATTATATTTTCCACAAAACACAGACCTGTATCTTGTAAGTACATAACATATAAACGCAATTTCTTAAAATAGTCATCAAATCCCATCTTAGCAAAAACGTTGCAGAATGTACATTTCATACCATTGATATTAATATATAAATATAGTTCCACATGCGTGGACAAATATACAAAATCTGATACCAAGTAACAGTCCCAAAACGCTTACCTTGTTTAACGTTAATGGTCACCACCCGTACTGATCCAGGATTGGACATTGCTGTTATATATACACCTGCAGCGCGTGATGTCATCAGGACTGTTTCATAACAACAGTAGAGGAATCAGCGGGAAGGCGGAAATCAATAGAAATGTGTGGTTCCCAAAATAGTGGGATTAGTACAGGATTAGCCATGTCGCATGTGAAGGAATTAGCGAGATTGTGAATAGAATGTGTGAAGCAGGGTTAATTAAGTGTCCGTGACCAGAACGCCGAGGCCAAGGTAACGCGTTCAGCTATAAGTAGCCGCTCTATTTGCAGGGTGATCATCATCCTTTGTTTGCAGTCAATGAATCGATCGTGATTTTGCTATTGTATATTATACTTTGTTACAATGGTATGTACAGATCTGTGTTTGAGTATAATGTGTGCATCAGTGTGTAGCTTTGTTCTGACGTGTCTGGACACGGATGCTTGACCTTCAGCCATGGGAGGTGTTGACGGACCACCCAGCAGTCCCGTTATTAGCCACCATTTAATTTTCGGGGCATGCTGTGTGTGCTCACAAAAGGAGTCCCCCTGTGCTAATAACTTGTGGTATCAATGAACACAGATAGACAGGTTTCACCTGTGGATTTCACCTTTACATTCTCATGTTTGCAAACCAGCATTTTTAAATTCGGAAAACATATCGTTCCAAATGTTGAATAAACACTGCCATTTAGAAAGTGATCAAATGTAACCTACGTTATATTTGGGATTACAGAATGTAGTACTGCTTTAGGATGACTTCTATTCGGGAATCGAATCCACCCTCAAAATCTGGCACCTAATCGCCAACACATATAAAGTCAGCGATCTAACCACCTCAGCCAACGCGGCTTCCACAAAGATGGAGGTCGGACAACTGGTAGTCTGAATCAAGTGTACTCCTCTGACAAGAGTAAATAAAGTATTAGACGTTTAGCACTTTGGTCCGGGGTGACACCCAAGGTCACGGGTATAGCATAAACCGCAGGGATCTTATCCTCTTTCGAATTCCGTCACTTCTCCCATACCCTTAACGACGATTTATCCCTTTCCTCAGCATAGGAAAACTTGGTCTCAGATCATGAGGAAGATTTCCGTCGCTGGAGAAATCCGTTAGAAAGACAACATGGAACACAATCCTTTTTACATGTGTCGTAAGAAAATAAAGCAAAGGAATCCTTTTTATGATATATTAGATTTATTGGAGAAACTGTTTCATATGGGAGTTAGGAGCAACACAAAAAAATTACCAACAGCTGGAAATGAGAATTTGTTGGCGTGGTCAAACTAGAAATGGAAAAATATCATGACAGTAACCAGGTTACAGCTGCGGTTTAATTCGCGCACAGATGTAGTTACTGTATGACAACATGCACGTTTGGTCAATTGTTCTCAATAGGTGTAGATAAGTTTGACCAATAATGTAAGGAAGAAGAGAAGACACAGTACAAGACCTTGTTTAACAGCCAACATTCAGGGACGTTGGGTTAGCCTGGCGGTTTAAGCGTAGGTTCATACACATGCACGCAGGCAAACGCACTCGCGTGTATACATGCGCACACACGCGTGCATGCATGCTTACACGTCGCTATATAAGTGAAATACATGTATATAAATAAGAGGTTTGATTGTGATAATTGATTGAAACATATTTTATTCATTCAAGAAGAGGAATGGGCACAAGTTACCCAGCTTAGAAAAGCCCTCTCCCGATAATTACACAATTCATCTTACAACATTTGGAGACCAAACTATGGTAATACGTAAGGGTGCGCAATATAACCGGTTTAGCTTAATCAGGTATATTGATTTGTTGTGTTCATGTTTTATAAATCTAGCATTAACTCGATTATAAGTAGTGTTTTGTCTAAAAATACTTCTTGCAATATATTGCAATACATATCGCTATATATCGCAATATGAAAATTCTCTGCAATACCCACCCCTAGTAATATGTACTAACAGCAGTTTACATCACATGAAGAACACCGAGACGAGAACCGGTACAAGGTAACTACATCCCAATACACCAGTCAAAAACCTGTCCAGTGCAGCATGCATCAGGACATGACGTAACGATGAGGCTCCGCAGGTCACCTCTACATCCCCATATACATTTGTAGTATTCCGACACACGATCTCCTTCTTCGGGGGAAGCTGAGGGCCGTTACAGAGGCTGCTGTTGCATAGCGTGATGCAGATTTGCACATTCGGTTGAACATCGTACGTGCACGTTGTCTCGTTGTTTGGAGAAAGGTTCTGAAGAAGAGGGTACTTTGTGACGTCGAAGGAAAAGGTCTTCCCATCACTACAGTCCCGGATGTAACTCCGGAAGATGCCTACAGGGTGAAGGAGAAACACGAGTTAGTGAGTGGGTTTATAGAATCTGTAAATAATATCTCAACTGAGCCATGACGTGTCATCTTAATGTCAGCGGCGAAGAAGAAGAAGAAGAAGAAGAAGAAGATGCAAGTACCATACGTTTACCATGTAAAACCACGTGAAACCAAACGCATGCGTTCGTTGCTGTCAAACCATGACACATACCGGTAAATGTTCATTCATATGAACGAGACCGATGGACAACCGACCACATGCCATTCGCGTGATGAGTCCCAAATCCCAAGTCCCAAACTGAACTAGCATAGATCTATAACGTCTTTGAGAGGCATTTAGAAGTTTCAGTACAAAGTAAGGATAAGAAATCGCTGTACGCAGATGGAGTTTCTTTGTTTTGCAGTAGCTTTGTGATTAAAGCGTTTGCTCGTCATGCCGAAGACATGGGTTTGATTCCCCAGATGGTTGCGATGTGTGGAGCCCATTTTGGGTGCTCTCCGCCGTGAGTGATGAGTTAGTAAGGTTTTACGCCGCTTTTAGCAATATTTCAACAATATCACGGCGGGGGACACAAGAAATGTGCTTCACACATTGTACCCATGTGGGGAATCGAACTCGGGTTTTTCAGCGTTACGAGAGGGCGCTTTGTGCATTAGGTTACCCAACCACCCAATCCCACCCCCACCCCTTGGTGGAGTTTGCTGGAATACAATTCCGTTTTCATATTTGATTGAGGAGACTTTAGGTTTTACCCTGTGACATGTGTGTTTCAATCATGCACATGTGTTGCTGGACAGCAGCACAGTCCTTATGGTATTTGTTTTTCCGCACATCCTCCCCAGTTTCGTCTTCATCTTCCCCTTCTTTCTCTGAATCTGGGAAGTTCAGAAGGGCAGAGGCATTCCTACAGTCAGCGTCCTTTCCCCCTGAATCAGCACACTGGTAGCATGATAAGGAAGCTTGAAAGAGATAAGGAAAGGTCATGCGTTAGTTAAAAACTGGGGTATATTAAAAACTGGGGTATATTTGCCGTTGTGGTCGTGGTCGGTACAGAGGACATTTTAAATAAGATGTGAACCCTAACCCTGACGCTAACCCTGACCTTCATCCTGATCCTAACACTGACGCTAACCGTGACCGTGACTATGAGCCCAAACTAATCACGAGGGCCATAAAGAAGTGGATATTGAGGATCATTATCACTATGTATTATTTTGTAGATACCTAAATATGATATTCGTACAGGAATATTAGTCTTATGAAAATGACAAAACTCCCTTTGCACGCAATTATGCCGACTGTGTGGTGTCGGAGTATGGTGGATGAAGCGACTGGCAACATATAAGTACATGCAGGATCTTTCGGGAGATGTCGGGAATGACATTTTTCATCATGCGATTTACTTAAGCCATAATCAATATCCGTAACGATCAGGAGAAATAAGAGCGAAGTTGAAAAGTATTGTGTTACATGAATGATGATGATTTCATGTTTGTAAGAAAACCTGTTTTCATTTTCAATCCAGGAAGTGTTCCGGCATGCAACGCGTACACCTCGTGGACGTTTGAATGAGGAAGTGACTTTTGACATCAGTTGGTTTTGTTCAAAATTCATCACAGGCAGTAGTATATCTTAAAACGCCTTCCCATCCTAAAAACTATGAAACGATCCATTTGGACGAAGAATGTAAAATAGTGGTTAAACTTGTATATGAATCAGCTCTTTACAAGTCATACATGACTTCGTTTTATCGAACAAGGGAAGGATTCACTTGATATGATATAACTAAAGTAAACCGAACGATTTACAGAAAGAAAACTAAATAGTCTTCACGATTAGATAAGATGTATTTGATGAAACTGATTCACTGCCGGAGGGATATACCCGAAGTAAACTCATCAATTCACTGATAGGTAGAAATACCAAAGTAAACAGAATCATTCATTGACGGGACAAAATCTCAAAGTACACATATTCATTCACTGACGGGAGATATACCCAAAGTAAACAGAATCATTCACTGACGGGACAAAAACTCAAAGTACACAGAATCATTCACTGACAGGAGATATACCCAAAGTACACAGAATCATTCACTGACGGGAGATATACCCAAAGTACACAGATTCATTCACTGACGGGAGATATACCCAAAGTACACAGATTCATTCACTGACGGGAGATATACCCAAAGTAAACAGAATCATTCACTGACGGGACAAAAACTCAAAGTACACAGAATCATTCACTGACAGGAGATATACCCAAAGTACACAGAATCATTCACTGACGGGAGATATACCCAAAGTACACAGATTCATTCACTGACGGGAGATATATCCAAAGTACACAGATTCATTCACTGACGGGAGATATACCCAAAGTACACAGATTCATTCACTGACGGGAGATATATCCAAAGTACACAGATTCATTTACTGACGGGAGATATACCCAAAGTACACAGATTCATTTACTGATGGGAGATATACCCAAAGTACACAAATTCATTCACTGACGGGAGATATACCCAAAGTACACAGAATCATTTACTGACGGGAGATATACCCAAAGTACACAGAATCATTTACTGATTCTGAATGAGATATACCCGAAGTAAAATTAATCATCCACTGACAGGTAGAAAACATCCTGGTCTCATCGAATATCAATGATTCCGTAACAGTAAAATTTTCGAACACTTTGAATTAATTTGTTTAATTAATTTAACGTAAAATAACGAAGAAACAAGAAAACTCACAGGTATAACCGACAGCGTTAGTCAGTACGACGACTGCGATACACACGGGCAGGTAGCGTGGGACAGCCATTTTGAAAACTCGTAGTTCAATGCAATTAGTTCATGCAGTAGTGTTATATTCGTATTTGATTCAACTGAACGCCTTCGAGATGAATTATTCGTACCAGGAAGAAAGTTCATTGAGCTTTTATGACCCCAAAGTAAGAATGTGTACCTATACACACATTGTATATATCCACATAAGCGTATGGCAGTATGTCAAAGGGCGAGTTGGTGTCTCACAATACGCTGCGTATCCACGCCCTCGTTTCTGTGGTGTTATATTCAGTCGCTACGATGCATGAATTTAAAGGGCTGTAGGTAAATGTGTTGGAAAGGGTTGAATGCATTTCACTTTCAGACAGCAGTAACACGCTTGCTATAATTGAACACATGTGATCGGACTATTGCGATTCTCGTCATAAAAGAGGTACAACGTAAAAATACATTTTTTACTGTTGTCTGTAAACAGGCAGACGCGATCCGCAACATAATAAAATGTAGGTTTATAAAATATATTAAAGTTTTAAGCACATTTAATGTTACTACAATAATTTAGTACAATACAGTTGCCTGCCTTTAGAATTCAGCACTACGAAGTTTATGTACACAATCACATACTTTGGTATGGGAGACCGTGTAATACGACTCTTGACATACATTTTAACATGACATCGTCGAGGCGTTGGGATGGCCTAGTGATTAAAGTGTTCGCTCGCCACGCCGAAGACACGGGTTCGATTCCCAACATGGGTACAATATGTGAAACCCAGTTCTGGTGTCCTCCGCTTTAATGTTAACAGCCAGTTGGGTAATACCCATTATTATGATAGGGGTGGTAGGACTGGCCACGTTCACGTCGACCTGCTGTTCGTGACCACGACGTCACCTACAGGCCCGTATGGCATGGACTAGGCGTCATTCTCGGTGGAATCAACGCCAGTGGTCAGCCGTGTTGTTTACAGATGCAAGCAGGTTTAATCTGTCTTTAATAATGGTCGTCGCAGGGTTTTCCGTCGTCGAGCTGAACGTATCACAGATGCAACTGTTGCTACCCTATTTGGTGGAGAGTCCGTAATGGTTTGGGCAGGGTTTTCAGCAACTGGACGCACTGACCTTTACGTCATCAATGGTAATCCCAATGGTCAGCTTTATCGTCATATAGTGTCATCGAAGTGCCAGACATCCAGGCTATGCATGGGTTTTACGGCCGTGTTCCCATTTTGCAGGATGATAATGCAAGACCACACCGGGCAGGAATAGTCACTGCTTATCTGCGACAGCAAGGTGTTGACCACATGGACTGGCCAGCATGTTCTGACCTCAATCCAATAGAACATGCATGGGACGAGCTGGGTAGGACTGTCCAGGAGCTCCAACGACTCTTAAAACATGAATGGCAGCAGATTCATGAACTTGATACGAAGCATGAGGTCACGGTGTAACAGTGTCATTGACCAAAGGGTAGGCTATACAAGATACTGATCATCTTAAGACTCTATGATTTGCTATTCAGGGCCTAGATTTTCGAAGCTCTATTAGCGCTAAGACAGTCGTAAGTGCCATACATTAACATTAACTTACGACTATCTTAGCGCTAAGAGAGCCTCGAAAATCTAGGCCCTGATTTCTAAGGGTGCCTCTCTTTAATGCTCTATAAAATCGTAAATCCTTCATTTAATGTGAGGAATGTTGCTTTAAACAGATTTTCCATACATTAAAGATGTTATTTAAGTTGAAAGGGGTTGTTTATGAATACAACGTGTCTGTTAGCAGCCTTAAGAAAACTTGACCCTTTAATATTGGAAGTGAGTATAGTTACAGTGTTCACAAATGTAATATAACACAGAGTCTGTCATACAGTGATGCACAGAAATATGTTGTTCTAACTATACTACTGCTCACAATAATTCACCAAAACCTTCGCCTAATTAATCAACGATTTGCCCATGTGAACAAACGCTGTACATTCCCCTAATTACCAATGCGTTTTCTGTGTCCAGTACTCTTGGGGTATCTCAAATGTGTCTCCGATTTTCATCATGGTTTGTTTTCTAATCGTGGGGAAAGTACTTGTGAACAATATAGTATATGCATGCTGTACTAATATACTTTGTGACGTGACCTTCATACAGGGACGCCATGGACGGAAAGGTCACCTAACCAAGCACATCTCAGAATAATCATCTATTTCCCAATAGCACAGAAAACTCTAACCGTGTGTACATGTATACCTAACAAGAGAGTGGATATTTGACATTTGTGGGGCGAAGTTCGACTTCAAGATAGGGTGAGGTGAGGTGAAATTGGGTTTAACGTCGTGCTTGAGAATATTTCGCTCATATGACGACGTGCATGCGTGTGTATGTGTATGTGCGGCTGCTTGTACTAGCCCAGACTTAAGCTGGTTTTATAGTGCTAGCTCACTGAGATACCATGCCGCAGTGAAGCATGAATACCCGACAGAGTATACTGACTCCGAGCCGACCAGTCCTTGTTGTACCCATTAATGCCGAGCTCCAGGCAGGGACCAACAAGTACCATATTTTAACGTCTTTTGGTATGACGCGGTCGGGGATCGAACCCGCGACCTTCCGCTCTCCGGGCGGACGCTCTAACCACTACACCACGGAGGCGGTCCTTTAAGATAGGGCACTGTCCCAGACAATAATATCACATGTTGAATTTGGGGCATTTAAGATTGTAAATTACATTTATACTCAAAACCCACAACACACGTGAAAGCAATGAATTCATCTTATTCTGTAGTGAACGAAGTTTTAGATATGTTTACTGAACGAGTCTGAGTTTTTGTTTTGTTGGTCAACAAGGGTCTAGCATTCATTTGATTGTGTGATGTCAAGCGATCTTAAGATGACACGATTGTTACTTGCTCACGAAATACATACGAAAATATGGTTTGAAACTAAACTGTCATATTTGATGTCATCGATTCAGTAAGTGTATATCAAAAGTGTGAGTGCTTTTGTTTTACGCCGCACTCAGTAATATTCCAGCTCAATGACGGCGGTCTGTAAATAATAGAGTCTGGACCAGACAACCCAGTGCTCAACAGCATGAGCATCGATCTACGAATTTGGGATGTGATGACATGTGTCCACCAAGTCAGCGAGCCTGACCACCCGATCCTGTTAGTTGCATCTTGGGTTACTGAAGATCAATTCTAACCCGGATCTTCACGTGTGGTATATTAAAAGGGTGTCATTACATTCATGCACTGTTCTCACGGTAATAGATTGTATGAAACACTCAACCAGAACTTTCATAAAAATATCAATATGCCTGCACATGATACTGTACTCCTTCATACAAAAAGTATAGCTTATTGTTACAAAATAAATACGGCGTGATTTTTAATAATATCACACACAAAGAGACATATCCATTACTTCACTACTCTTCACAGTTACTTATCTCTTTATCGCTTTACTTTCGAAAAGATTTAGCGGAATTTCCTCGGCATGGTTACAATGAGTGAGCAAACATTGCTTAATGCTGCATCAGCAATGTTGCAAGTGTTTGCTGCAAAATGGTTGCAGGATAACCGGAATATTTTTCATAATTAGCGACGTACCTCGGTACTCCCCTTTGGAATATTATAGTTGAGAAAATTTCGCAAAAGAGCTCAGGTGACTACGGGTGTGCAGGATAGTATATGCAACACGGGGACAGTACATGTGAAGAATATTTCATATACATGCCGTATTAATAAACAATGCGATCTTAAATTCATAGAAGCAGACACCATGGGAGGAAAAAACACGTTATCCACTGTATCTCAGGACAAGCATCCATTGTCCGATGATACAGAATCCTCTAACCGTAAGTACGATTAATAAGGGATTAGTCGTTCGATGTTCCTTGGACTTTCCAATAATGCATTGTTCTAGGAAATTGTTCATGTCTTACGACACGATGATCACATTTGATTTATCCCCCATATTATAAACCTAAGCGATGAGTTTATTCTTTGAAATGTAGGAAAGATCTTTTCGAGTTGTTAATTTTACCAAACATTTGTTCCGTTTGAATGTTGCAAGCGTGCTTGCTTACTATAGTTACTTGCTTGTTTAGAAGGGTTGTTGGTTGCAAATTGCTTACTTGCTTATTATTTTGAGACGATCTTTGCGTGTAAACGTTTCCCAACATCCAACCAAGGACAAACTGGATACTGGAATGTGCAGTAGAAACCTTACCCGATTATAATTATTAAGCAATCTGTAAAGCTTTTTAACCGAAAAGTCCAGCTTTGCTATGTAATCAGTTAATATCAACTCATTTGACAGAAAGTGAGCATTTGTTCAGTTTTGCATGTACTCTAGAGCTATGCTTTTTTCATTTACTGGTATGTAGGTGTGATGTGCCTGGGACAGCAAATAAAGAAGCCTTATTCTAATGTGCCTTGGGCTGCTGATATAGAGATGTAAATGGCTTAATGTAGCTAAGATCTTGCTTGCTTCCCCATGTGTATAAGTTATATACAATTTTATCTATAAATATGTGGCGTAAAACGTCTCAATTTTCAGATTCCATCTGTTGTTCCCAGAGATTAATCGTGGTGTTAATGGTATTTTTCGGGTCAGTCATGGTTGAGTCCAATAGGTCCAACCTCAGCGTGGGCATCGTCTGCATGGTCAACGACACCGACAGCAACAACATTAATGACACAACGACTACAGTACAGTCAGAGGTATAGTTTCACGTTTTGAATAACGCTTAGTTATAACTTTATAATTTCAGTTTTAATCATTTCTTTTTAAAGATTTATGGTAGTTCCAGAACATGGACGTGTGGGCAATCTTTTGAGAGTTACAGTAAGACTTGGACGGATGGAACCTGTGAGGCAGCTGATATGTGATATTTGAAGCCTGTTTTTGATCATAATAATTTGCGTTTTAATTTCGTCACACCTCTTAATTTGTAAGGGGATGAAACTGTAATTCACAAGTGCCTTAAAATCTATTTTGCTTCCGGCTTTTAGGTGCATATAGAATACACGCTCTCCGAATAATGGTCAGGGTTTAAACGGGTGAGAACAATCTGAACATAATGTATACATAGAGATTACTAAACGAGTGTCTGTCAGATACCATTTATCTTACAACGAGTTGTTTCAAAACGTATTTAACGAGCGAAAGCGAGTTTAATACGTTTTGAAACAACGAGTTGTAAG